TATGTTTTGGAGTCTGTAAGAGTATTTAGTTAATTCATTGGGTTTCATTTCCCCAGCATACCTCTCTTTGGTAGTTGATATCAGCCCCTTGCATGATAAGCTCTTTAACACAGTCATAATGGCCGCTGTATGATGCCACCATCAGCGCTGTTGTTCCATACTGGAAAGAAACATTAATGAGCATATTTGTTTTGTTGCAATGACCAGGTAAACAGTGTAGTGATGGCAGGGATGAAACCACAGAATTCTGCATATTTCTGGCTTAACATGCAAAGCTTTCAACTGTTTATAGGACAAAGAGAGAAAGAGAGAGAGAGAGAGAAAACAATTAATGGATGAGGAATTGTGATGGTACACACATGCACTACATGAACCCCACAGGTAAGGCTTGAAGCTTTCTGTGTCCCTACCACAGGTGGAATATGGTTAAAGTGTGCATCTGAGCAGCCACAGCATGCAGTGTCCATACACTGTCTCTGCAGTCTGCGTCCACTCGCCCGCTGTTGAGTAGCAGTTGAAGCAGAGCCAAGTTCCCCTTCCTCGCTGCCCAAAACACAGCATTAGCCAGGGGTGTTTCCTTCTGGAGGATAAATACACACAACAACACAAAAACTGACCTGAAAGTTACCATTAGAGCATTAGGAATGCTGAGAGCAGACAGTAAGGACAGCAGAGTGCATCCAGGTGTTACTGTTCAGTGTTGTGATGCACCTGAATATGAATGACAGGTGAGTCATCAATAAAGTGTGCCAAGAGATTAATAATCATATTTATGACATCACATCACATCTCAACCAAAGTTAGGGTTTAAAGTTTGTGCTAACTTTAAGTCTTTACCATAAAATTTAACAAGTTACTCATGAATAATGGGGACTTGCTTTTTGTCCTCAGAAGAGGGGGACATGTCCAAAATGTGCGTAAAATGATTTGTTTCCTCTCAGTACCGGTAATAAAAGGTATGTGGACATACTTGTGCACGCACATTCACGTGCACGCTAGTACCATGGGCCGTTTGACATGCTATTACATCAGCAAATCCGGATGCACACACACCGAGTTGGACTCTATGATCGCCCAGGCCAGTAAGCAGCCATTCAAATGTCAGAGCAAGTGCTACCTCACCGGGCTCATAGTGAAACATAGCAGATCGTTCAATAACCCCCAAATAAACAAGTCTGCACTTCAAGAGGAAGCGGGTGCGATCAATTACCTTATTGCGGCCCTCTCAGGCTGCGTGCACAGAATGATGGACGGAGAAAGCTGGTTTACCTTGAAAGACATCCTGCAGACCTCATTCGTGACTCATACTTCTTCCTGCGCACTCATTCATTAGACGAGATGATGAGCGCCACTCGCCTGTTTTGCCGCACTGACTTTGGGTGTTGGCGGCGCCCGATCGCGGACATAATAACGGGGAGGCACAAAATCAGCTGAGCTCATCCTCTGCAGTGTGTCCTGCGAGGGAGCAACACCGTGGGCCAGCAGAGGGCGCTGCTGCTCACACTGATGAACTGTATATAAATATAGATTTATGGCGTGAAGCCATGGCTATTAAGCAACCTACATTTACTCAATACTGCACTTAAGAGTAATTTTAAAGCATTTGTGTTTTACTATACT